CAGCACTGGGGGAGGGTACTCATCCAGAATTAGACTTCTTTTCAAAAGTAGCATGATCCACATATTCTTAGCAAAAGAATTTGGAACAAGTAATTTGACATAACATTTACTCAGTAAATTAAGTTATTACTATGGGTTCAGATTTATGTCTTTTCTTGTGTTTTCCTGCATGGTTGACATTGGTGAATATAATATGCTCGTCCAAAGAATGTTTTGCAATTTATGAAATTCTTTCTCCTTCTTTGCTATGTAACTGCAACCCTGATTTATTTCTAAAAAAATTTATTTCGTATAAAACTTTGGGAATCTGTTTCCTGGTTAGAATTTATATAGTAAAAGGTCTAACTTTTATTTAAATTCATTTGAAATTCTCTTGTGACAGATTAGTTTCCTGGCATAGCTCTTCATCTGAAAATCACATTTTATGTTTTTGTGATCTTCATCATGCATATGAACTTGTTTCTGCTTTTTAAAGCACAGGAGCCAGCATATCAGATTTGTTCCTGATATAGAAAGGAACCCTACTGATCTCTTAACACTGCCATCAAGTTATTCTTAGTAGCTGGTGTAGAACATGAACTGAGATTGTTAATTCAAATTTTCTGGATAGCTTTCTTTTCAAACAGCCCTCTTGCCTGCCTTTCCTGAGGTGGAGGTTAGGATGGAAGAAGTGGCAACTCTTTAATTGGGTTGGTCTTTCAAAAGCAAATTTTATTTTACTATGGATCACTACTAAGATAGTATTTGCTAATGGCAAATCTATTCACTATTCACTTCTGGTTTTGCCAAATTACAATTGCAATAGTCTTTCAAAATATGGTGTCTCCTATCTTGGCAAAAAGCAGTAACGATATTTCTTTAAGATGCATGATGGTCAACAATAACCTCTGTAAGAAATGAAAGGGCTTAAGAAAAGTAATTCTGAAAGCTGTTGAAAATGAAAGCTTATTAATGAAAGGCTTAGACAACTTGGTGTACTGTATATCTTTTCTTATTTTATTTAAAAGGCTTATATAGCTATGGATTACAACCACAATCCTGGGCAAATCACAAGACAATAAAAACAACCAAACAAGCATAATAAAAACTCTGGTACCCCTGGGACACATCCACATATCATCTTCTTGGGTTCATCCTACACCAATGCTTGAGGGAAGAACCAGCTCTTCAAGGCCTTCCAGAAAGCAAGATGACACTTATGACGGTGCCATTAATATGCTCAAAAATTATTGCTAAAAGGAATTAAAAAATGAACAATCTGGTTTTACTAAGATTGTGCTTTCCATGAGACTCTGTGTGTCTACAGTATGTCAAATACTTTTATTCTAATGGACAATGTTGCGTACCCCTAATTGGCATTTTATTTTATTGCCTTCTATGCAGTGGCCTTCTGATCTATCCAGATGGACCCCTCAATTTGGAGAGGAGACCAGAGGAGATTTCTCGAGTCTTCAGCCCTTTTTATGTCTTGCTTAGAAAAATCAGGTGTGTGAGTATAGCATTGATGTATAGAAATACAATTAATAATTAAGGGGGGGAGGGTTTAGTGGAAGATTTTGCTTCCAAATTGTATATTCTACAGAACTCTAGGTGTGTTTTTCCTGGACCAAAGCACTTCAGATTACAGACTAAAATCTTTCACTAACCTTCTCTATAGCTAGTAATTAAGTACAGGAGAAAGACATAGTTTCTTGTTTACTTGTTCTCACTGATGCAATGGTTTAACATAACCATGGGTTTTTAAAAGGGGGGGATAGGGTTATTTTTTTAAACTTCATTTCTTGTGTTGCTCTCCAATGAAATAAAGCAACCCTGAATACATTTTAACAAATAAAAGATTGCAATCAAAATTATCCACTTTTATGGCAATCCTTAAAAGTAGGAGGCAATGTCTTTGAAAGTGACTTTCTTCTCTAAATAGAGTTAGCAGAAGACAAATGAG